CATTTTGTTCAAAACATTTTCTGACTTCCCAGTTGATTTCTTCTGTGATTCATGAATTATTTATATGTTATTTAATTTCCCAATATTTGGTTATTTCCCAATTATCATTTTGTTGACTATACATACTTTAATTCTTTTAAAGTCAGAGAACATTCTTTAAGATGTAAATTATTTTAACTTTATTTAAACTTATTGCCCAACATGATCTAGTTTGATAAATGTGTACACCTGAAAAAAATGTACTCTGCTTTTGTTCAGTGGAATGTTCTGTAAATATCACATCAATTTGATTGATAGTTTTGTTTATGTGTTCCATAGTTTTACTTCTTCTTAAAATCTATTTGTTCTATCAATTACTGAAAGAAGACTTGAAATATTCAATCATAATCATATATTTGTCTATTTATAATTTCATTTCTATCATTTTCTTTATGTGTTTTAAGACTGTGTTATAGGTGCATACATTTAGAAGTGTTATGTCTTTTTCAGTTGACCTCTTTATCTTCAGGAAAGGTTTCTTTTGGTTCCTGTTAATTTCCTTGCTCTGACATCTATCTTGTCCAATATTAATATGGCTACTCTGACTTGCTTTAACTAGTGTTTGTTTAGTGTATATTTCTGACTTTTGTAGTTTTAATCTATTTGTATCTTTTTGTTTAGTAAGAATTTCTTGTGGACATAATGTAGGTTGTTCTCACTTTATCCAATTAGAAAATCTATGATTTTTAATTAGAATGTTTAGACCACTCATATTTAGTAAATTCATAGATATAATGGAATTTTCTTCTTTTAATCCAATCTGTTCTTTTTTCTTTTCCTGATTTTTTATTAGAGTAATTGAATATTTCTTATGATTCCATTTTATATACACTATTGGCTTATTAGCTACATCTCTTTGTTTTAGTTTTAAGTGGCTGCCCTAAACTTTACAACATATACATTTACCTTATTATCACTGCCTATCTCAAAATGATATTATGATATTTTACATATAGTTTCAGAAACTTACAATCTATTCCCACCCTTCCTTGGTATTAATGTTATTATGTATTTTGCCTGAAAAATGTGCTTTAACCTTTCTGGCATTACAGACTGGCTGGTGATAAATTCTCCTGGATCCTTTATGATTATTTTACCCTTATTATTGAAAAATATTTTCACTTGGAATAGAATTGTAAGTTGACATTTCTTTTCCTTCCATTTTAAATATTTCATTCCAATGACTTCTGGCTTGCATAGTTTTGAAAGTAAAGTTGGCTAGTCATTCTTGTCTTTGTTTCGCTGTACTTAATGTGTCTATTTTCCCCACTGGCTGCTGGGTTTTTTTTTTTTTTTTTTTCCTTTTCTTTTTTTCTTTGAGATGGAGTCTCACTCTGTCACCCAGGTTGGAGTGCAGTGGCATGATCTTGGCTCACTGCAGCCTCTGCCTCCCAGGTTCAAGTGATTCTCCTGCCTCAGCCTCCCGAATAGCTGGGATTAGAGGTGCCCACCATCACATCTGGCTAATTTTTGTACTTTTAGGAGAGACAGGGTTTCACCATGTTGGTCACGCTAATCTCAAACTCCTGACCTCAGGTAATCTTCCCACCTTGGCCTCCCAAAAGGCTGGGATTACAGGCATGAGCCATTGTGCCCAGCCCCTACTGACTGCTTTTAAGATTTTCTCTTTATCATAGTTTTGTAGTAATTTGATTTTGATGTATCATGATATTGTTTTCTTTGTTTTTTACTCCTTAGGGTCTTTTGAGTTTCTTGGATTTGAGAGTTTATAATATGAATTTTTTCAGCTATCATTTGTTCATTTTTTTTTCAGTCCCACCATCCTCTTCTCTACTTCTGGGAGTCCAATTATATGCATATATGTTAGACTGCTTGGTCTTATCCCAGAAATCACTGATGATGTGTTCATTTTTATCTCTTTTACCTGTTTTTTCTCCCTTTTCTTCATTTGGATTGTTTCTATCATTATGTCATCAAGTTGGTCAATTTTTCAGAGTCTAATCTGATGTAAATGCTACACAGTGTATTATTATTTCAGATATTGTATTTTCTATCTCTAGAGATTACATTTGGGTCTCATTTATAACTTTTACTTCTGTCTTCACTCACTATGTTTGTATCTTTCCCCACCTTCTTGAACATATGGAGCATATACATATAATGGCTGTATTAATTTTTGTTGTTTGCTAATGCTAGCATTTGTCATGTTTTTGTCTGTTTCTATTGATTGATTGATTTTTCTTCTATTTATGGATTATATTTTCCTGCTTCTTTTGCTGCGTAGTAATTTTTGACTAGATGCCAGTCACTGTAATTTTTATCTTATTGGGCACAAGATTTTAGTATTTTTTTTACAGTGTGTTGGATTTTTTTCCAGCATAAAATCAAGTTACTGGACTCAATTCGATCAATTTCAGGCTGCCTTTTATGCTGTGTTAGAGGTGTCACTTAGCATCCTGGTCTAGCACAAATTTAGACTCACAATTCACACAATGTCCTAATGTCCTGTGTGTAAACACAATGTCTAAGATCCTGTGTATTACTTGTATATTACATGGTCTTTTCAATGTGGCTGGAGGGTATACAAACTATTCTCAACCTTATTTATGCTCCCCCCAAATTATGACCTACTGCTTTTCTGCACTTCTTGCTTCATCCATGGGTAGCATCCTCTTACCATATGATCCATACTAACCCAAAGACCAGAAGGAACTCTTTTGTGCATCTATGGAATTTTCTTTCTGTTAAGTTTCCTTTTTTCAGACATTCTATCCCACAGATTCTTATAAACTTGACATCCCCCAATTCTGATTTTTGTCTCTTCAGCTCAATGAGATGACCAAGTTCTGTGGTGTTTTTGTTTGTTTGTTTGTTTGACAGAGTCTCACTCTGTCACCCAGGCTGGAGTGTAGTGGCATGATTTGGGCTAACTGCAACCTCAGCCTCCTGGGCTCAAGCGATTCTCCTGGCTCAGCCTCAGCAGTAGCTGGGATTAAAGGCATGCACCACCATGCCCAGCTAATTTTTGTGTTTTTAGTAGAGATGGGGTTTTGTCATGTTGCCCAGGCTAGTGTCAAACTCTTGGACTCAAGTGATTCACCTGCCTTGTCTTCCCAAAGTGCTGGGATTACAGCCACCATGCCCAGCTTTTTCTTTTTTCTTTTCTTTTCTTTCTTTCTTCTTTCTTGCTTGCTTTCTTCTTTCTTTCTTTTCTTTCTTTCTTTCTTTTCTTTCTTTCTCTTTCTTTCTTTTTCTTTCTTTCTTTCCTTTCCTTTTCTTTTTTTCTCTTTCTTTCTTTCTCTTTCTTTCTCTTTTCTTTCTTTCTCTTTTTCTTTCTTTCTTTCCTTTCCTTTTCTTTCTTTCTTTTTTTGTCTCCTTTTTCTTTCTTTCCTTCCTTTTTCTCTCTTTTTCTTTTTTCTCTTTCATTTTTTTTTCTCTCTCTTTCTTTCCTTTTTATTTTTAACTGTACTGCTTCTTGGAACCTGTCACTTGGCAGTAAGCTGAAGCATTCGTAGGGTTTACATCATTTCTTTCCCTCCTTTTGGGGATCAATGCACTGTATTGCTTGTTATTCAATATCTGAAAACCATTGTTCTGTACATTTTATCTGACTTTTTTTCTAGTTGTTTAATATGTGAGAGTAAATCTGGTCCCTGTTATTCTATAATGGCCAAGTGAATATTACGCTTCTCATGCAGAAAATAGAACACTGTCTCTACTTTTTACAAAGGGAATCTTGTTTCCTCAGCATTCATAACAATGAAGCTCAGCTTCTAAACAACTAGTAATATTAACTTATTTATAATCTTATATTTAGCGAGAAGGCTGGGGCATGAGAGAAATAATCAATTTATATTTGTACAATCTCATGCTCTTCTGTAATTAGTGGTTGAAACTTACGCCAATGGTTGTTTGCTTTTTAATGTCCGGATTTGTATTCACACATCTAGGGTAGTTTCTGATGTTGGTGACTGTGTGTTTAACTTAGTTTTTTGACTCAAGAATGACATCCAAGTATTTCACTATGCTTCCTTATGAGCTTATTTTTAATAGGAATTGGCTGAACTATATTTCCAAGTATAGATATAAGAGAATCAAAGTGACTAATTCTAGAAAATAATGAAATTTCAAAAACAATTTTTATCTGCTTCCATTTCCCCTACATTGTCTAAAAGGACTTTACTGAAAATGCATCATAGCTAAGTTTCCCAATTTGATTCTTTAGTAGGTAGTTGCTTGCAGAAATAGGAATTTTTGACTTTCTTTCTTCCCTCCTGCCCCTTCATTTAAAAAAGAAAATTCCATTTTGTTCTCTTTCCCTTTTTCCTCTAAAAATGATATATGTGGTCCTCTAAACTCCTTCTCATTACCACATTTACCATCATTGTTCATGTCTCTATATTTTGATTCCATGCTATTTCCTTTGCCTAGAATATCTTTACCATATTTCTTTCTTGGATGACTCTCATGGATACTTTAAGGCTCAGATTAGACACCATCAAATAGACTAATTTGTATCAAGTTATGTGTCCAACATGTATAAATATTTGTAATCAGTAAACGAAAACATAAATAAAGTGAATTATCTGCTTTGGTATCTTCCCCGCTACAGCTCAAGGATAAGAAGTATATAACTGATAATAATGCGGAGTCTAGAATCCAACCTTTTTACTCTTTGGGTTCAAATCCTGGTTCTACCCACTAAATAGCTATGCAAAATTGACTTTACTACATTTTTCCGCTTGTGACTCAATATCTTTATCTCTATAATTGTGCTTACAGTACTAGTCTTGCACAGAGTGATTGTGAAGATTTGATAATATATAAAGCACCTAAAATAGCACCTAAAGACTCCAAAAGCAGCTATTCTAATCAACAGGAGCTAATTTTTTTTTAATATCAGGTTCACTGATTTGTCAATTTTGCAATTCAGTTGTCTCCTCGCGTCTCCCTTCAAATTATAAATGTTTCATGTTATCACAAGAAAGATTACCCAAATATGACAGAATGAGAAAATTATGCTTTTTATTATAGTCACATAAAATAAAGTCAGTTACACCAAGTTGTCCAAATGCATTGGTGAATTAATGCCTCCAACTCTTACAAATTTTTATACATATATCTATGCATTTATAAATACATACATATGTAAAAGATATATATTTTCTACTAAAATAAAGTACCCAAATCTTGGTATATAGGGGCATAATGGGGGAGAAAAGAATCACAAAGTTTTACCAGTTGTAGACTGTACTTTCAGAATACAAGAATCTGTTTTAGACACATTTATTCAGCTGTAATGAACTTTAATCACCCATTGTTTTCTGAATTTTCCTAAGTGAGTTAATGTATCCAAAATATCAAAACAAATTATGTGGCAGACTTAATGAATCAGAGGCTAATTTTTCTTACTGTACCTGACTCAAAGCCTAGACTTCCCAATGGAGGCATGGTTAAGCTCCATTCTTAATTTTCTTGTTTTTTGGACTATGGTTTTGCTGCTAAGGTGATAAACAAATAAGATGTCTCTAATTCTACATCTTCTACTAGCATTCGATAAAGTCAGGGTTTGGTGAAAAGATTTCTAATGTTTTTACATCACCCTGACTTGATGAAAAAAGGCCCAGCAGGGTCTGAATTTCCTGCTGCCTTTGTTACAGCAAAAATACTGTTTGAGCCACGGAAGGAGAATTAGGGTGTAATGATCAATAGATCGTTGAGAGAACCAACTCAAATTGAAACGAATTCTCTGTTATAGTGAAAAACATTAGTGAGAAGATGCTTGAACTTAAGAACAAAATAAAATGTTAAAGAAAACCTAGATGATATTGGATAATTCAGAAAATCTTCACTTCAGACAGAAACTAGAGTTCTTTCTATTTCCTGTTCCAATAGCTCAGCTTCTTCTCCTGTGTTTTTACTGTATTTTCTGCTATCTTAGACTTTTAAGACAATTATTTGTAGTATCTGACAAGAAATTGAATTTTTAAATGCCTTTGAAAAAACTTCAGCCTACTTAAGCAAGGTGAAGATGCCTAAAAATAGCTTAATATAAACCAGTCATTTCAGAATCTCTGCTGATTACATGTTCAAATGCCATTAGAGTGTATCTTTACTCAAGCAGGAAAGGAAGAAGTTGTTAGCACTGAAATTGCATAAAACACGCTAAAACTTCCCAACCTACGGGAGGCTGGGAACAATGGGAAGCCCAGACATTTCCCAGAATCAAAACAAAGAATGCAATATTTCGTTTTATTTTTGAAAGGGGAACAGAAGGGGAAGAGTGTTTCCAATTATGTGGTCCACCTCAGCTGGGCTGCCTAACTACTGATTTTGGTGAGCATCTTGTTAATGGCTTGCTTGACGTGCGTGGTGGAGCTGCGTCGCCTCGTCTTGCCCTGCACCATCCTCCGGCGACGCACCTCTCGACACAGCTCATAGAATATCTCTGTGATATTCCCTTCTCCAGTGCAGGCAGAACACTCGTAAAAAGCACAAGCCAACTCTGTGGCCAGCTTCTCTCCTTCTTCTGTGCTAACCTGCCTGGAGTGGTCCAAGTCAGCTTTGTTTCCAACCAAGATGAGAGTCACATTCTTGGGCTTTTTGATCTCATCTAGGATGTTCTTAAGTGGCAGCACTTCCTCAAAACTTCCTCGGTCAGTAATGTCATAGACCAGCACAAAGCCTTCCCCCCATCGCATGTGTCCTTCCCTCTGAATGGTATCTTCCTGTTGGCAAAGAAAAATGGCCGTCAAGAGACCTGGAAATAATCAAAATAGATGGATGCTGGTAATACTGACAGTAATCCCTTAATTACTATTCTTTATATCCAAAGTCATTAAAATGTCGTGGTACTCTAATTGTACAAACTTTCTAAATAAGTTTTAAATACAGTCATTACTTATTCATCTCAACATATTTCAGGGAACTGAATATTTTCTAATTCAATAGATTTTACCTTTCTGCTTTTATTTTTTTTCTTGCCATATCATTAAATCTGTAATCATAAGAACCAAAAAGAAATTATAACCTTAGTTAAGCACATCACTTTTGAGACTTTTCATCACGATTAAGGAATTAGCAATTTTTTAACAGACAAGTAGCCCTTATCCCACCTTTTAAGTATCATAATTAGAGTCAAAGTTTAACAAGATGCCATTTTGGTTTGTTTATTACTTTTTTGGTTTGTTGTTTGTTTTAATTTTCTCTTTCTTCAGATTATAGACAATTAACTTCCAGTAAAACTGTGACAAACTATTTAGAGAATCCAACTCTATGCTAAAGGATTTGACTTTTTTCCTTTTCCTATCTCAGAGCCCCCAAAATGTCATGTAGTACCAATGACAGAAACTCTATTATAGAACTGATTCTCAAAGTGGGTTATCATTCCTTCATAGGAAAGTGGCATGTATGATTTGAAAAAGCATTGCCTTCCCAGGTTCAAATGACTTCTGGAGGCATGCACTTCCCTGCTGCCTCTCTTCAGAATCAGTGCTCTGTGAAGGTCAGAGAATAAGTAGGTGGTAATGAGATGGAAAAGTGGGTAATTCATTTCGAGAACATTTATTGGTTTAAACACTTTGATTCAAGTCTTTTTGGGCATCACAGGTCATTGATAAAGTACCATGGAAAACTTCAGCTTTCTGTCATTCCAGTGGCCATTTCTTTTTTCTTTTTTTTTTTGAGACGGAGTCCCGCTCAGTTGCCCAGGCTGGAGTGCAGTGGTGCGATCTGGGCTCACTGCAAGCTTTGCCTCCCGGGTTCACGCCATTCTCCTGCCTCAGCCTCCCGAGTAGCTGGGACTACAGGTGCCCACCACCACGCCTGGCTAATTTTTTGTATTTTTAGTAGAGATGGGATTTCACTGTGTTAGCCAGGATGGTCTCGATCTCCTGACCTCATGATCCTCCTGCCTCAGCCTCCCAAAGTGCTGGGATTACAGGTGGGAGCCACTGCATCCCGCCGGTGACCATTTCTATACCTGAAAACTAAACCTACCTATGAACCCTTTTGTAATCTCAGAAGTGACTGACCTAATACCAAATACTATAAGAAAGACACCTAAAATAAAGTATTCTGAAACAAACAAACTTATATGACATCATGTAAGTTTAGAATACAATATATACTAAATCTCTTTCTTAAAGACTCACACATACGCATGTTAGAGGTTTTGAGAATTCTTTCAGTAAACACACCTGTTTAACTTCAGTTGAGCATTTCAAAACACATTTGACCATGAAAACTTATTAATATCTTGGTATGCCACAAAATATAGGTGAGTGAGTCTAACCTAGATGATATGTGAATATTATAGTATGTTCAAAACCCTCTTGAAACACTGGGCAGTTTACATAAGGATGCGTATACAGATATTTACAAATACATTAATATATAAAATGACTAGTTAATTAGAGAAAAAGGTTTTAGGCATGCAAAATTTAGTTGAAGAAAAGTGCCTTATTTTTATTCATAGCATAGATTTCTCAGTTTTATTTGATCCAGAAAAAATATTTTAGCTGAACTCTTTATTCACCTGACCAGCAGTGTCTAGTATCTCCATGGAAACAACTTCATCATCGATGGTTGCTTGGTGTCGGTAGGTTGATTCTAAGGGAATGAGCAAATAAAAAAGGCAAAAAGGTAAATACATGCAAGATTTAATTTGATCGTTAAAACTGAAAATGGGCATGGGAAAAGTATTCCTGATTTTACAGCATAAGGAACTGTGTAGTCTAGGAAGGAGAGGATGGATGTGCAAAAATGTAGAATCTTCATACTTAGCTCCCGGGCATACCAAGTTCTAACATGGGTGCTGCCAACTTTCAGAATATAGAATAGGGGGAATCTCTTTGCATCTTTGCTACCCTATCCTTTCCTCTTTTTTTTTTTTTTTTTTTTTGACAGGGCTCTGTTGCAAAAAAAAAAAAAGCTCTGTTGCAAAAAAAAAAAAAAAAGCTCTGTTGCACAGGCTGGAGTGCGGTAGTGCGATATCAGCTCACTGAAACCCGGGTTTCAAGCAACTCTGTTGTCTCAGCCTCCCAAGTACCTGGGATTACAGGTGCCTGCCGCAACACCCAGTTAATTTTTGTATCTTTAGTGGAGACGAGGTTTCACCATGTTGGCCAGGCTGGTCTTGAACTCCTGTCCTCAAGTGATCCTCCCGCCTTGGCCTCCCAAAGTGCTGGGATTAAGGCCTCAGCCACCGTGCCTGGCCCTATCCTTTCCTCTGAAGATTCCATTTTATTTTTCTGAAAAGACAGGTCCCTGGTGCTCTTTTCCTTCTATAATGAGACCTCCACAATGTAAATTGAGAAGGTGATCTTCACAAAATGCCTTGGTACTTCTAAAAATCTAGTTTCTGGAAACTGCTGTTTCTAACAAGATAACATACCAAGAGAAGCTACCAATTTCCTTTCAAACCTCAACTCTGGAAATGTAACAGATATTACCAGGAGGTGAATGGTTCTTGCCAAATGACGTAAAACTATAAGAAACTCAAGGGGTAGTAAAAGGTGGTCAGACCCCAGATTGGTGAGGAACGGTAATCCAAAGTAGAGGAGGGTTGGGCAGCATGGAGGGGAGGTGGAACTATATGGAGTCCTCTTGCTCATGCTGCCTCTTCAAAGCAGAAAAATGGCAGATGCTCAGTACCAGCTGGAGGCTGGTGGATCAACAGCAGAGTGGTCACCAAGCTATGTGAGGGGAAGGAGAAGTTAGCAGGTGCAAGAAGACTGGGTGGCCCTGCGTATGCCCCTCATCACATAAAATGGAAACCACAGGTCAAAAATAAGTGCCAACTGGTGCTTCTCTGTATGAAAACTAGAATAATAGAAAGAAAGAACCAAATGAATGACCTGATGAGATTCAGGTTGAGGAACTCTCTCAGAAGTGTCAGTAAGTATAAGTAAGTAAAACAAAGGAACATGTAAAAGTAAAATTTAATAAGAGGTATGGATAATAGAACAAGAAATCTTAGTATCCTTTATAAAATGAGCCTCAAAGGAGAGAATAAAATACACACAGGAGTGGAAATTATTGAGGTTGTAATGGCTGAGAATTTCCCTACGTGAGAGAACAATGAAAGATTTAAGATTAAAGGAACTAGCAGGACACATGAGGAAAAAGTTCCATATTTAAACCTATTACAACAAAATTTAAGGATATCAATGACAAAAAATGTCTAAAGGGATTTAGGGAATAAAACACATCACCTACAAAAAGATACGACTCAGATCGATGTAGAACTTTTTGCCAGTGAAACTGAATTCAAGATGTCCATGAAAACAATAAAACTACATCAAAATCAATCTGGCATTAGAATTCTAGATGATTCTATCAGTATATCAGGGTGAAGATGGGGGAAAAGGCCAGAAACAAGTATGTGTGAACTAATGTACTTGTCTGATTCCAGAAGATGATATAACTCTTAAAAATCTAGAAAAAGTCAACTCAATAAATTAGAAGAGAAGAAACAGAATACATTCAAGACAACATAAGAAAAGAAAATAAAAAACATCCTGAAAAAGAAATCAAAACCAAAGCACGGTATTTGAAAAGATATAAAAAGAGGGCAGAGCTGTAAAGATCTGACGATATTGCCATTAAATTAGGAAAGACAATGCAATTAAAATTTAGCATAAAAAGAGGAAAGTGTACGTTCTGCTGAAATAAAAACAAAATAATACGAAGTTTATAAGCAATAATTTCAAGCTCATGAATTCTGGGAGAAAAATACAGTATCACTAGCATTATTCTGTATCAGCAAAAGCCATGTAGGAGAGGTGAGAGAAAACAGGAAGCTACTCCCAATAGTAGTAAAATAAATAATATTTAGGAAGTAATAAAAATATACAAAACCCTTCAAAACCCTCCAAAAACAAAAACAAAAATTTTCTAGAATAGAAAATTTTAGAACTTTATAACAGTAAATAAAGACTTGAATAAATAAGAAAATCCTCAGAAAATGGAGAAACAACATTTTTAAAACATGTCAGTTTTCCCCAAAATTAATCTAGAATTTAACGCAATTCAAATGAAATGTCCAGGTAGACTTTTTGAGAAGCTCAAGAAATTTATTTAAGATTATATAATACTATATAACATTACTTGAAACAGTGTGGTACTAATATCAGAATGCACAAATTTACCAAGGCCTTAAAATAGACTCATATTTATATAGGAACTTAGTATATGACTGAGGTGGCACCACAAGTCCCTTAGGGAAATAATAAATGGTTCAAACAGTAGCATTCGGATTAGAACCAATAAGAAAGAACTGGCCACTAAATGCACAAAATAAAGCTGGGCTTCTAGGGCGTATATTAAAAGTAAATCTGGATGAATTAGAGATCTAAACTCACCTAGATTTGAAGAGCGAAACCTAAAGTTAAAAAAATTAAAAGTAAGAAAATATAAAAGCTCATGCACAGACCAAAAAAAAAAAAAAAAAGAGAGAGACAAAAAATAAATGGGTTGACTACATTAAAATTAAGAATTTTGTGCAATATTAAATAGGCTAAAGACTGGAGAATATATTTGTAATATCATAAGCAAAAAGTTGATTAATATCTAAGGTATGAAAGAAATTTTAGAAATTAAAAAGATAAGTGAACAGGAAAGAAATACGGCCAAAGTATACAAAGAGGAAATTCACAGAGGAGGATGCCCAATTAGTGAAAACATATATCAAATGATGTTTTACCTGCTTACTTACCAGAGAGAAGCTTATAAAATGATTTTATGACAAAAAGATTGGCAAAAATTATAAAACTAGGTAATATAATGCCTGACTAGGTTACAGGCAGCTTCTCTACACCGGCAATGGTACATCGTTTTGAAGAGCAATTCACTAGAACTTGATGTGGGCATACCTTATGATTCAGCAATCTCCCTCTCAGGTACATGCACTAGAAAAAACCTGGTCCAGGTTCTTACAGCACTGGGCCTCCAAGTGTAGTGCCTGAACCAGTAACATCCAGCTCACCTAGGAACTTGTTAGAAATGCAAATTCTCAGGCTCCACCCCAGACCTATGGGCAATCTGTGTTCTAACAAGTCCCCCAGGTGATTACGGTGCATGCTAAAGTTTGAGAACCACCGATTTAAAGGTATGTTTTCCCTAGTGACATTAGCAGTAGCTCATATTGGAGGCAACTTAGGTGTTTATCATTGGGGAGATTAGTTAAATGTGGCATAGCAAAGAATACCATGTAGAAAACTAGAAGTAAATAGAGAAAAATGCATGGATCTTAAAAATATCAGATTTGGTTCTAATGATTAGAAGTGTATGTATATATAAATATATAAAATTTATATAAATTTAAAAAATATATATACAGAACACTATTTTCCCTAAGTAAACATACAGTAATAGCTAGCACATACTGCTTCTATTTGAACAACTGTTCTAAACACTTTACTTATGTTAACTCATTAATCCTCACAAATATCCAATGAAGTATATACTGCTATCAGCTCCATTTTACAAGAAGAAGCTAAGCCATAACAAGATTAAATAACTTGCCCAAAGTCACACTGACAATAAATGGTAGAGGTGAGATTTGAGTCAGGGAAGATCAGCTTTGGAGCTCCGGCTTTTAAATATCATGCTTAGTTTCAAACACACTAGACTCTGCACTTAAGGCAAAGAGGAGGGCAGTGGGTGTCAAAATAAGGGATGAAGGGGAAGAGAAAGTGGAATAATATAAGGCCTCCCATACACTAATAATAGCATAACACCATGAAAAAGAGTAGTATGATTAACATAATTATTAACTCAATTCTTTGTACCCAAACTACCCAAATCATTAACCAACCAACCAACCCAATAAACTCGGAAGTTTCTGCTCCCATGGGGGTAGCCTGTAAGCCAATGGTTTTATAATTATTTTTTCTATCTACCTCATGTTTCTGACTTTCATTTCATCAACTATTTTGTAGTCCTTTTTTGATCACTGTTTTCTCTTACTTTACTGTAAATATAATCTGTCCAAAACACAAACTGTAGAATGCAGCTTCGCCAGCCATATCCTTGCCTTCTACTTCCATCAGCACTGTGTAGTGATCATTGGCCACAGGCATGGCACATTGCTCAAGTATTTTCCAAAAAGTAAAATTTTAAAATTAGATTATGTTCAATATTTTAATAAGTGTATTTTACGTTATTGTCATTCTCCTAGAATATGTAATCCATACATGGCATATCATAGTGATTCGCAATTTCAGAATATTCCGTCCCCCCTACTCTTTTACGTTAAATGGGAGATTATAGTTTTGTATGATTTAATGCTCTAAAATACTATTTACAGCAGCCACTTGTCTCCAAGTGTTCTCTCAATAATTTTCTTTTTGTATCTTCAGTGCCCCAGCGTGATGAAGAGCAGCCCAGACGGCATCACACATGCTGGGGGGCCATGCCCTTTGGCTTCTCCCTCTGCTGTTCTTTAGTGTCCTTTGTACTGACTTCCCTTTTAGAAAGACTGGCATCAGCCCCAGAGACTGGAAAACAGAGTTCTGGGCTCTATTCCATCTCTTTGCACTAAAAGTTGTCTGAGAGACAGGGACATTTTTCTCTGCTGCTTCCATGATAAATAGGATACGTATTTCAAT